TCCCACTTCCACCTAAAAAGCAGCGGCTCCGTGTCCCGGCACCGGGATGCAGCGGCTCGTACGTGCAGACGCGCTTGCATTCGGCGGCAGAAGCTACCGGGCTAAGCGCAGCTCCGCATCCGCGTTGCCCTCCGCACGGGACGTAGCAGGCAGTGAAGCATCCGAAAGCAAATTCAGCTTTCTGCTTGGCTCCCCAGCGGCGAGGTTGGAGAGCAAGCCTCAAAAGACAGAAAGGCGCCTTATTGCTGCTGCAGGAAGTGACTTAATGTTGCACTGAAAAGGTTTACGGGGAAAAAAAAAAAAAAAAAGGGAAAAAAAAAGCTCCTGTTTTTCCAGTGTCCTTGGCTGCACTTGAGACAAGTCCTGTTTACAGCAGCACAGCTGTTCCCATCGCAGGGACCCTGCATGCTGCTGTCGGCCGCAGGGCACCCCAAGCTGCGTGTGGAAGCGGGATGATGCTCGGGGAAAATGCACATTTTAGAAAAAAAAAATCACTAGAGAAAAAATCAGCAGAAAAAAAAAATCAGGGTGGCAGTAAAAACAGCGGGGCTGACGTGAGCACATTGGTACCTCGGTCCTCATTGACCCCACTGACCTCATGTTTCTGCTGGAAGACCAGGGCGCTGGTATGCTGCAGTGTTTACTTATAGACGGCCTGAAATAGCTGTCTAAATACCATGGCGAAGGCAAAAATACACGTACAGATCCATATTCTAAGAACATATGTGCACATGGTCTTTGCTGTGGTGTGGCCGCAGGCTAAGTCTGTTTTATTTCTTGAACGAGGCAGAGTGTACTTTTCTGCTTAGTCCTTTTCCTCCCAAAATTCACAGCTCCAGCGCTGCCTTTATGCATCCCGCATCTCCTCACCCAATGCTGGGCCTCCCTTCCCCTCCCTCTCCTGGCTTTGCCCCTGCTCTCATCCTCTCCAGTCTCCAGACCCTTTTCTTTTAAAAGCAGAAAAAATAAGATTTTCTTCCCACTTGGATTTCTCAACAGCTTTTTTTATTTACTTTCATTCACCAGGTTCTGAAATTCCATAATTCCAGCCCCAAATCTGGTTACATCCTCACTCCTCATCCTGGGCTTTGCTAATTTTCCTGCTCATCCATTCTCCTAAGATCTCTGCTTGTCTCAGTCCTTGCCTTCCTTTCTGGCAAAATCCCAGGTTCTCTCATCCCAAAACCAGGGAAGTCAGGCAGCTCCTCTAAACTGCCCTTGGGCAATAGTGTTTTAAATGTTGAATTGGAGAAGGAGAAAGGAATACTCTGGAAAGTCCCAGGACTCACAAATGAATGCATCTATTAAAAAGAAGCAATAAAATCACACATTCACAGTACTACTATGAGGACATGCAAATCTCATGTTAACTCACGAAGGCCAAACTGGAATCTCAGATAACTTTCTTCTTCATGAAGTAGTATTAAGACTGCTTAGCAGAAACACCACCAAAAATATATATTCTTTTTAAAAAAGGAACCCCCCCCAAAACAAACAAACAAACAAACAAAAACAAAACCAGCAACAACAACAAAATACAAGAGACATGGAATCCCTTACTGAATTTCCATAGCACCTGCAGACACTCAAGTGCCTTCACAATGGAATCCTTTTGGTCCTTAGTTTAAGTCGGCAGCACTGTCAGGACGCAGTTCATACCCACTCCACAGGCATGAGACTCTGCACAAAGCTGACTGCATACTACTTCTTAAAACAGCACATTGAACGCTAAAACAATACATTGAACTCTGAAACAATACATTGAACACTCCACCAACACAATCCTGGCATTGATTGGATTGTGAGCTGATCTCCGCAGTCACTTCTTGTTACTGAAGACACACAAGGGTCAGCCTCCAGCAACAATCCAGCATCAGCAACAATAATACAGCAACAACCACAGAAAACGGAGATGCAGAGCACAGCAGCAGTGGCAGGTCCTCCTGCATTCTGCCAGTCTCAGGGAAAAGGCCAAATTGGGTGTGCCTGGTAAGCATGGAACAAAGCAGAATGGATGGCTGTTTTCAGGCAATAAAAATGGTTTTGTTGGTTCCAGAACAAACAAAGAAAAAAAAATCACAAAGGAAACGAATGCAACACCTGATAAGAACATGTCTCTCTCTGCCTTGAGGCCTCAGGTCCTGCATGAACCACCTTTACTCCCACCCAGGCTTGGCTGGGTGATCACTAAGCAGCTGGTACCTTCGTGGGACTATCTTGGTGCTTTGAGACATCAAGTGAGCAAGAGCTTCCTACCCCATTCACTCGACTCACACAGAAGTAGCAGCAAGGGCAGGAGGCTCTTTCCAGGCTTCTTGCCTCTTGCTGATGATGGGCGCTGCCGAAATTGGAAGAGCTCTTCTCCCCTCTCCACCATACCTCAGGCCAATCCTAAACCACATCAGCAAGCTACGCTGAAACACAACATGTGAAGGCACCCAAGCACAAATACCTGCACTTCTGTTTATGCGAATGTTGCACTTTTTCCTATTTTGCTGTCTCATGTCTTCAACCACAAGGAGAGACCAAGTTACCTCTGGCTTTAGGGCAAGTATCTGCAAAGTGAAATACTCTGCAAAGCACAGAGGCTTCATGGTGTTATCGTCACTACAATGTATGCAAAATCTTCTTTTCCCTCTCCTTACTGCATGATAATCTTGACTAGACACAAGCAACACTTTTAAAATGCACCATTCTGTTCCTTTTTTGCTACACTGCTGCGACTGGGTCTGTGCAAACATTCCCTTCCGGCCAACTTCCATTAAATTATATCCTATCCAACACAAGAACTACACAAGAACATCGACTTACTGAAACACCAATTCAGCGCTACCAGAATCCATCCCTAAACAGGAGAACTGGGGAAGAATTAGAATATCTATCTGATGTGCTAAAAAAAAAAAAAAAGTTTTAGGGGACAGAAAAGGGGAGAGTAAGATAAGAAAAATGTGGACAGGCGTGGAGTACTGGTTCCACAAGCTAAAGAAAGCTTCATTGCTAAAGTGCCTTAGAGGGTCCAGAAAGAACAAAGAGAAGCAACTGAAAATACATTTATGAACCTAAGTCTAAGGTGACGTGAAAAATACTGTCCTCTTTATCTTATACCTTCCTTCCCCATCTGCTTATGATATCTGCTCTAAGGCATTTTTATCTTCAGTCTGTCACTAAAATCTTTTCCATTGAAATAACATTATGAATAACAGAGTCTCTTTCCAGAGTTATTGCATAAGAGAATTCATAAAGAATGTTGCAGAGGAAAAAGACAAAAGCAATAGCTGGCATATAAATGGAATTGAATGCAGTATTTTTTGTACGATGAACTTCAGCTTGAAAGGTTATCTGGAGCAGGAAAAGAAGGGATAAAACTGAGTTCTGACCTTCTGGGTTCCTTACTACAACACAGAAGTCAATACTTTTCCCTTTCTCCTCCTCTCACCTCTCTCAATACTACTTTTGTTACTATTACTTTTCTTAATTTACCTATCAATACAGCAATTGCATGGCTGACTTTTAAATCCGGCATCTAAATATTTAGCAGTTTAGATTGAGGTTTGTAATCCCCAAACATGCAACTTTGCTGATAATGGTTAAAAATAACAGAGAAAAAAAATCTCAGAAAAAAATCTCAGTTGATTAGCACTTTAATAAAGCAATAAGCCTATTCTCACCCTGGCACCAGGGATCAGATGAATGCAGCAGCCTGGGTGTCCTACTGCCCTACTGCCGCTGCTCCTCCACATTTAACTCCTAAACCACAGAAG